ATTTGCCCTTAAGTCTAGTTCTATTCGCCTGCGACCTACTCCCACTTCAAATTTGACTTTCCCTACGTGTAAATGTGTAATGTGAACAAGTCCCCAACTAATAATTTTTAAATCTTTCTTCATATTGACGATTTAGTGACATATAAAATAGCTTGGAACCCAAATTAAAAACGTGAAACGAATTAAATTATGTAACCATACAAGCACACGTAATTCGTAACCATACGTCAATATAAATATTTATACAAGTTTTCATTCTCTCTCTCACAGTCTTACACAATCACAACCAAGTTCCTGAAGCTCTTTGATTCTTGAGGCTTGAGAGATGGAAATAAGCGAGACCTCAAAACAACATTCTGAACCAAACCCGAATGCCAAAATCGAAAGAAAAGTGTGGAAGCCTACGAAACGGATCGATGAAGCATTGATAAGCTCCGATGATCTAACTTGGGGAACTAGAGGAGGATCAGAGAGGAGCAAAGGAGGAGGAAGAAGAAGAAGTGAGAAAAGAGAGAGTGTGTCTGATTTAGAAGCTGAGGAGACAAAAGGTTTTATGGATTTAGGTTTTGTTTTTACAGAAGAAGACTTACACTCGGAGTTACCGGAGATTCTTCCCGGATTGCGGACATTTCTCTGCCCGGAAGAACAAAATGAGAAAGAGCCGTTGGTGGTGCCGAGACCATATTTGTCGGAGGCTTGGGACTTTTACTATGATAAATGGAGTGGAAGAATAGAGAAAGATTCATTGGTTATAGATTTCAGAATGGCTAAGTTACGTGGTGACATGAACATGAAAGATAGCCTTAAATTGTGGGCTCGTTCTGTAGCTTCCCGTCTTAAATGAGATCCATTCTTATTTTGATGTTTCTTTTTGTATGAAAGAGTGCACATTAATCATTAGTAGTATACCCAATTTTTCTTGTTCCACTCTTATTGTTTTTATTCACAAAACACTGATGTTAGGAAAACATCGAAACCAAAAAGGTTTCACTCAACACACATCTATTACAGAGCTAAATTAAATGGTGAATTGAATAAGAATAAGCCGAACTGTTAATGAGTACACTGGCATGGCTTGCACATAGAAAATAACAATTACAAATTTGGAAGATCTACAGCAAGTTAATCAAGTTCATATATAAAACACTTCAAACTTCATACTTGTCCTGTAGGATGTCCTAATCAAGCTTTAAAAACATTTATTGACAATTAGCAATAGCATATATATAGTTAGTGACAAAATGCTGCCAAAAAGAGAAGAAGCTAATGAATAAAGTACTAAAGAGGATTGTAATGCTTGTGATTCATTTCTGATGTGTGTGTGTTTCCTTGCGCAAAGCCAATGCTAATCTTTTATGTATCCTTAGATGCATGTAATTAAAAAAGTCCTCAGACCATTGGGAATATTACACCATAGAGATACTCTATATTGACAGTTATCATAACTACAAGCATAAGGGATGACCAAAAGATAATGCTCTTGATTCAGTTAACTCATATAAGAGCATTTGGAGATAAATCATAGATGTATAACAGATTAAATGAGCTACAAAGATAATGCTGTTCAGAGAAATCTTATAACCATTTGGATATATATAAACCAATGATTCAAATTTTAAGACTATTCTCCTTCATAAACGGCTAAGCATATAGACTTAATGAACCAAGATATGAGCAATCAAATTTCCACGATTCCGAGAACAAGGACATATAGAGTTTAACTTTACTTTATAAAGTGTGTCTCACCTTCTACATTGATATAAAGTGGAAGAAATATGATCTCCACACCTCCATGCATGAACATCTACCAATGTCCGCAGATTTTCTTATTTGCAGATTTTTTTTAAAATTTTTTTTTTACATTCAACCAATCACATAGAACTATATTTTAAAATATTAGCGCAACAGAATTACCGGGCAAATCTCCTTTGGCAAGAACTCACTACAAAGCAATGCATAAAGAGATGCAAAGGTCAAGTAATGGTTTCCTGCCAATAGAGATCTTGCCCTGTAATGCAGTTTCACCTTTGATCTCATCTCTCCACAATTGTAACCTGCAAATTTGATGTTTGTATTTATACAATCCTGGAAACAAGCATATTCCGCGGTACATGCTACTATATTGGAAATAAGACTGAAGGTATTCGGCGAAGGATCTCTGGTGGGTATAATTTCTAAAGAATAAATATTTCACGCCACAAGCTTTATAGTAAGACATTTCTAAAGTAAAAGCAGCCTACCACTTTTTCCTTTAGGTATTCGAATTCTTGGCCATATCTTTTTAATTGTGCACACAACAAATAAAACATGGTAGATGTATCATCTCAATATCTACTTTTAAACCTAGTTAAGGAGTCGATACCAATGTACATGACATAGCATGTACTTAGGGGTGTCAAGTTGGTTAAACCAAACCAAACCAACCCATATCCATATTGATTTAGTGTTTAATGGTTAATGAATCAATCCAATTCATTTAGCAAATGGTTTGGATTAACTCATAACTCATTTAAATGAGTGGATTAATGGATTTAATGAGTCGATCCATAACATAGTTTTCTTATAATTTAAATCCTAATTAATTGATAATTAGTAACTATCATGTTACCACCACCATCATCATCATCACTCCATCATCATCTTCATCACTCCATCGTCATCAATTCACCACCACCATCATCATCACCATCACCGTCGTCGTCGTCGTCATCGTCGTCGTCGTCATCGTCGTCGTCGTCGCCGCCGTCGTCGTCGTCGTCATCGTCGTCATCGTCGTCGCTGCCGCCGTCGTCGTCGTCGTCGTCGAAATACTTGTAACTATGAATTGGTTCATAAATTGATCACAAAACGACGACCAAGGACTCCATGAGTGACGATGAGGGATCCGAGTGTCAGTGGCTTTGCCGGTGAACGGCGTTGTTGGCTTCGTCGTTTAACGTTGTCGATGGATTTGCCGGTGAAACCATAAGATTGAGAGGGATCGACAGTGAGAGATTTGACGCCGAGAAAGATCGATGGTTAAGCGATTTAAGAAAATTATGTTTATTTCGGTTTACTAAAATCGGTTTAGTGATTCAATTCGGTTATATTTGGTTTACATATTTGATTTCAATTATATAATTTTTATTGGTTTGGTTATGGATAACCCAGTAATCCATTTTAAACCAAACCATTTCAATCCAACTCATTAAACTCATTAAACCATTTAATCCATTAATATCCAAATTTTCAACTCATTAGATCCATGAGTTGGATTGGTTTGGATTGATCCATCAATTTTAAACCATTTTGACACCCCTACATGTATTAGACCTTGAGGGTGAAACCATGTCAAGAGATAAACTATGGTTTTAAGAACATTTAAACTTTATATATTTATTATTTACAATAGCTAGCTAGGTATATTACAAATTTACAATTTTTCAAAGCCATATGTTCAATTAAAAACTCTCAACCTCATTCATATTTCTGATTTGGACGATTTAAAAGACTAAATGACATGGTTGTGACTTGACAAAATGTATTTGAGACCACTCGTTTAAGAGTTCTATTTAAAGAAATGACGAGAAAATAAAAGAATGCTAAATGTGGAAACAGAAAAGGGTACGTAGTATATAATTAAATATATAAAATAGAAAGTGATCGATTCTTGAAATGGAAGATCCGTGGGAATGTTCTTGTAGTTTTTAATAAGGCTTCCGTCTGAAGAGGCACAAAATGTAGAAGCTCGAAACTGCAATTTACTCTACACAATTATGATATTATATACATTTAAATTTTATATGTTCCGCCACTCGATAAAAGTCAATCATCTTAGAAAAGGACCAAAATTCGTCTTTTTCAATATATAAAAAGTACATTAAAGTAGACTTTATATATAGAGTCATTATGATAGATCAAGATCCTTTCATTGAGTCAGTTTTCTATAAAATAGATATAGAAGGAATATATATGTATATATATATATATATATATATATATATTTATAAATATAAATGACATACTTTGGATCCTATTCTTGTATCAGTTTCGACGATTTTGAGATTTTATTCAACAATGACAGAAGACATAAAGTTCTTAGCGGCAGGTACGAGCAGCATATTCTTAAGTATATCCAAATACACCAAAGATCATATATATTATATACTTTACATTTACTATTTGTAACAATCGTCCATTACGTTAATGAATATAATTAAGCGTGAATGATAATGGAATCCTAAGAATAGTTAAGACTTGTGGTGATCGAATATCGATCTAGCCACATTTTCCTCCTCTCTCCCTAGGACCGCTAATTTTCTTTCATGGGCATCAAAAATTATTTTGTGAACTAAAATAAAAAAAAATAAAAATTGTAAACCTCAAAAACTAAACTCCAAACCCCAGATTCTAAATCACAAACCCAAAACTAAATTATAAACCCTAAATCTAAAATCTTAATCCCTATCTCCCAAAAAATGTATACTTTAAACCCTTACCCAAAAACGTAATCCCTAAACATCAAATCCTAAAGACTGAAGAATATTGTAGGTTTCAGGAGCCTAGCTCTATGAATAAAAATAGTCATTGGTAAAGACTGTTGAAATAACAAAAAAAATCGTACCTAAGATAATAGAGACGTATTTACGAAACAAACAAAACAAATTGCATGTAGAGATCGATTTCAACACAACATACTCTATTTGTAGTTATTCCAAAAACGAATATATGAAATAAGCTAAGGCTAGCTCCAAGTGAAAATTCCAAGTTGGAGTTGGAGTTGAAGTACCAGGATAAGGCCCATTTGACGTTGCGTTTTGGATACTGCATAGATATGCTCCTATGAAACATGGGATGTGCCACCGAATATGCTAATATATAAGACAAAAAAGTGTTCATGAAATTAAACCATACACCCCTCTATATATAGCTATGCTATGGTCGAAATTTAATTATTACTCAAAAATATGGTATAAAAATACAGAAATTCGATGGTTGTGAAAATCAAGAAAGATATGCATGGTTGGATTACAGGGCAAATACTCCATTGGCAGATAGTTTTTTGCTACATCTATATTATTTATTATTATGGGTGAATCAATGTATGAAAAATACTTTACTGCCAAAGGAGATTTGCCCCGCAATTCGTTCCATGCAAAAGAACATCATTATTTGCACGATCACAAGACAAAGGTAAGCATTTATTTGAGGGGAAAAAGCATTTAATTAACTATTGCATGCAGTGATCATAGTTGTTGTGTCCAATGTAGCTTTTATAGATACATACTCCCTCTCTTTTATAATATAAGATATTTTGAAAAAAAAAATTTGTTTCACAATATAAGATGTTTTTAAGTTTCTATGCAAATTATAAATTAATTTAAATTTTTATAATTATTAATATTATGCAGTTTCTTTCGTAATTAATTGAACTTTAAAAAAATGGATTCTTAATCTGCGTATTTTTTGCGAAAACATCTTATATTTTGAAACAAAAGAAGTAAATATGAAATATTGTTATTTTTTATATATTAAAATATTCTTTATTATCAAAAGAAATTTATTCAACTAATAACAAAATAGCTTAGAGAATACAAATGGTCAAATTAAATAAAAATATTAAATTTTTGTATAGAATAACAAAAACTATAACTTAGTTTGAAACAATTTTTTTCTCTCTAAAACATCAATTATATTAAAACGGAGAAAATAATATTTATATATACATATCTAAAAACGTGGTTGGGTTACATATTCCCTTTTGTACGATGATGTAAATAAATGTTTACTTTCGTATGGAAAAATTATTATCCTTGAAATTTATAATTTCCAAATTTTGTATGAATCGTTTCGTTGTATTGGCTTCTCGACTCTTTGACTAGAGAGCGCGTGCGTAACGCGTCATGACTCACGTGTTCATTACTACTAATCATGATTTAGGATGTGTGTGTACTATGGCGAGTATGGCCATATTCCACCTAAAATTTGACTTCCTCTACATGTAATGTGAACAAAGACCTCGAGTAATTATCTATCGTCTTCTCCTGACGAGTTTTACGATATTCATATAATATAGTTTGAGAACCCAAATGAAACACGTGAAACGAATTGAATTATGTATATTATAATATAACAAGCACACGTAAGTCGTAACCATACGTCGATACCTATTTATAAAAAGTTACATTCTATCTCTCTCTCTCTCACACACACACACAATCAATCACCCACCAAGTTATTGGAGCTCTTTGATTCCTGGAAAACATAATTCTGACAGAAACAAAGATGTCAATTCCGAAGGAAATATGTGGAAGCCATGTAAACATATATGAAACATCGATAAGCTCCGATGATCTAAGTTCTAGAACCGGAGGATCGCGGAGGCGCAGAGGAGGAAGAAGAAGTGAGAAAAGAGAGAGTGTGTCTGATTTAGAAGCTGAGGAGACAAAAGGTTTTATGGATTTAGGTTATGTTTTCACAGAAGAAGACTTGAATTCGGAGTTACCGGAGATTCTTCCCGGGTTACGGACATTTCTCTGCCGGGAAGAACAGCGAAGATCAGAGTCGTCGGTGCCTAGACCATATTTGTCGGAGACTTGGGACTTCTACGGTGATAAATGGAGAAGAAGAGAAGAGAAAGATTCAATGGTTATAGATTTGAGAATGGCTAAGTTATGTGGTGAGACGAACATGAAGGAGAATCTTAAAAGGTGGGCTCGTTCTGTAGCTTCTAATCTCAAATGAGATGCAATATTATTCATTATTATTTCTAGCTTTATCTTTGGTACTACCTATATTACACTATTGTCTTTTCTAATGTCTGTAGAAATTTTGAGATTATTTATGAATGTAACTATGTAAGGGCTTAAAATTCGGATGGTAAGAATCTATCGTCATACTAAAAGAGTTTCCACACTCTCTAGTTGGGCAAGATTCAATGGTAAGAATCTAAATGAATGAGTTTGAACGAAGTAGTCTACAAGTGAAACTCTACCATCAGTCCATCACCACTGGATTCTATTTCTACAAATCACAAAAGAGTTTCCCTACTCTCTAGTTGTCATATGGCCGGTGATAAAGGGACACAAAACTTAAAACACTATTCGAAATTACCCTCAACGGAAAAAGATAAAAAAATCTCCGTTGCCGGGACTCGAACCCGGGTCTCTCGGGTGAGAGCCGAGTATCCTGACCAGCTAGACTACAACGGATTGTTGACACACTTTTACATATAATATTAAATAACAAAAACAACAAAAGAACAAGTTTGCGTCACAAGTCATTCTCGGGTCCATGCTAAACAAAACAAAAAGGGTAAAAAATGAAAAGATAATATAATAGATCATAGATGGATGAATTTCTTGAGATTCCTGACAGATTTCGATGATCTAGGTATTATAGCACAGTTTCAAACACACGCATAAATAATAAAGGATAGAAGATTCGGTTCGGTCATGGAGATCGGTAACGATCGACGAACGAGAAAGCAGAAGAACAGAAGCTATCTGTTCTGGTGTGATTTGTTGACATGTTGCTGTCTCCATACCCAATCTTCTTCATTAAGGTTTATGTCGTGGCTCTTCTTATTTATTCAACTTTTTTTTTTTGCCTTGCGTTTTACTCTTCCCAATAAAATAAAATTCAGAGATTCCTCAACAACTATGTTAGCTTCACTTAGAATTAATTTGTTCTGTCTGGATTTCTCCACACTTTTTTCACCAATTGTCATATTTTATTGTTGAAATTTTTGGTTCCATCAATTCTTAATTGCTTCCCTTACATCGAGAGAGTTCTTGATTCATTTTGCATTTCCTAAATAGTTTATGAGCTGAGAGAAGAGATAGATCAGTAATGGGGAAACAAGGATCACCGAGAAGTCCTCGACCGGAAAATATAGATAAAGAAGAGAAAGTTGGGAGGAGAAGTTTGGATTCTTTATCTGGAAATGATCTCTTACTCGGTAGAAGAATATATGCAAGTGAAGTTTCCAAGGCTCAAGGATCTAAGCATGATCAAAGCTATGGTACTAGCAACAAGTTCTGGAAGAAGCAACATTCATGGCTTCGTAGGAACTTCAAGTCGATAGTTCTGATGATCTCAGTCACCGGTTTCATTTTTTGTATCGATTCAATCATGGTTTCGATCTTTCATTCTGATAATAGCGCCGTGGTGCAGGACATTTCAAGGTTGAGAAATGTGACTCTGCATAAGGTTTGAAAATAAATAGATCCTCTTTGTAATTCTTCATACATCCTTCATTGTTATTGCTTCTTATTAGCTGTTTTATGTCAATTAAGAATAATGGAGCTCAAGATGCTTCACCAGTGCAAATGTATAGCCGTCTTCTAAACTTAGCTTCGGATTCTCTTGCAAAGGTTAGTGAAAATGTAAGAGATTATATTTGTTATGTGTTTGAATTATTAATAATCTTGAATTCCATTTGTGTTACAAGAATGAATTCAAACCCGATACACCAAATTTCCAAGAGGAAAGATCTTCAAAGTCATCACAGTGGAAGCCTTGTGCAGATAATAACAAATCACCTGGGGCATTAGAGAGGTCTAGAGAATTAAGCAATGGTTACATCATGGTTAGTGCCAATGGTGGCCTTAATCAACAGCGTGTGGCTGTAAGTATATACCAAGCTAATTATTAAATATTTGATTCATCAAGAAAGTATGTATATATAGTGATTCCGTTAGTTTATTGCAGATTTGTAACGCTGTTGCGGTTGCTGCTCTGCTCAACGCGACTCTAGTTCTTCCTCGGTTTCTTTACAGCAATGTATGGAAAGATCCTAGGTATTTTAAACTCCTCAAGACTTCAAAATTTATCATAAAAATTTGTTTTGTTGATTTTGCAAAAGTGCGTAAATTGCAGCCAATTTGGTGATATATACCAAGAGGATCATTTTATCGAGTATCTGAAAGATGAGGTGAATATAGTGAAGGATCTTCCTCAACATCTAAAATCTACTGATACCAAGAATCTTAGCTTGGTATGTTTTTGCACTCTCTCTTTTTCTTCTCCGGTTTAATATATTGGACATGCAAAATCATAATGTTTGTTTGTTTCTTCATAGGTTACTGATACAGAGCTTGTAAAAGAGGCAAAACCAGTCGATTACATCGAACATGTTCTTCCTTTGTTAAAGAAGTATGGAATGGTTCATCTTTTTGGATACGGGAATCGCCTCGGGTTTGATCCTTTGCCTTTTGATGTTCAGGTACAATGAGAATGCATAATTTGAATAGTCATCTTGGTTCTTAGACATAATATGATTTATTTTTTTTGCTTCATTTAAAGAGATTACGATGTAAATGCAACTTTCACGCTCTGAAATTCGCGCCCAAGATTCAAGAAGCAGGATCTCTGTTGGTGAAACGGATAAGAAGGTTCAAAACATCGCGTAGCAGATTGGAAGAAGCATTGCTTGGTGAATCCATGGTGAAAAATACTGTTAAAGGAGAAGAAGAACCGTTGAAGTATCTTGCTTTACATCTAAGGTTTGAAGAAGACATGGTTGCTTATTCTCTATGCGATTTTGGAGGAGGAGAAACTGAGCGTAAAGAGCTTCAAGCGTACCGTGAAGATCATTTCCCTCTTCTACTCAAACGTTTGAAGAAATCAAAGTACAACGAGAGATAAAACAACTCTTCTTTTGCCCTCTTCAATGTTCTTTAAAGCTAATCAGATCATGTTTCTTATTTTTCAGGTCAGTGTCCCCAGGAGAGTTAAGAAAAACGGGCAAGTGTCCACTAACACCAGAGGAAGCAACTCTGGTTCTTGCTGGTCTTGGATTCAAGAGAAGAACATATATTTACTTAGCTGGATCTCAAATCTATGGAGGCTCTTCTCGTATGCTTCCTTTAACAAGACTGTACCCGAATATCGCGACCAAAGAAACTCTCCTTACACCTCAAGAACTTGCACCATTCAAGAACTTCTCTTCTCAGGTAAAAAGTCTTAAACAATCTTAAACTTACTTTACCCGACTTACTCTGTTCTTGCTCGAACTTCATTTCGATGTTTTCGGACTCTGTTTTGCAGCTAGCTGCACTAGATTTCATAGCTTGTATAGCATCAGATGTATTTGCAATGACTGATTCTGGGAGTCAACTATCGTCCTTAGTGTCTGGATTTAGAACCTA